CATGGTGATGAAAATGCCGATCATGCCGTCGATGTGCTGCTCCTCGAACATGCCGTAGGTGTTGCGCTCCTCGGACCGCTCCCCGAGCGTGACGCGACCGAGCGTGGCGGACTTCTTCATCTGGTGTGGCTTCCGCTTGTCTTCTTCACCGGTCGGCGGCGCCGTCGTGCAGTGCTTGACGTGGGCGTTCGTCGGCCCACCAAATAACGGAGGAGCGGGGGCGGGGTGGGGGAGAGAGACACGGAGGTTAGATGGGGGCGGGTTTCGAGGCAGGTTTCGAGTCAAAGCCGTGTGCAAGGCTATTTCAGAATCGTGGCAGAGCTATTGGGCGCACGGCAGCAGGGGGGCAGCGACTTTGTGCGGGGTGGATGGGTACCGAAGAGAGGGCGGGCGGTAGGTCTCGGGTTGTTTATGCACCTGCATCGTACATATTCGGTTTCACCATTGCAAGCACTGGAAATTCCTGTTTTAATACTCCGCACACACGCGCACCACGGGACACATGAAAGCAATGCGGTGCGTGTCGCAACAAGACAACAACATAATTAAAATACCTTATCCAAAAACAACTTTCGCGCATTTTGCGGGAAGGTGAGGTCCAAGCACTTCTCCAAGACGAGGTCAAGCGAAAACTCCCCGCTGGTAGGGTTCTGGTGCGACATGAAGTTGTCCAACGATGGCAGCGCGGCGCGAGCCTCTGCCGACAACGAAACTCCACGCCCGATGTCTTTNAGGGTTCTGGTGCGACATGAAGTTGTCCAACGATGCAGCGCGGAGCGAGCCTCTGCCGACAACGAAACTCCACGCCCGATGTCTTTTTACATCTTGTTGCGCCTCGTGAAGTGGTCGGACGTTTCGTAGTCTTCCATCCCCCTTTCCGTCCACACCACCTCCTCGTCACCGCTCTCCTCCAGCTCTGGGGGTGGCGACTTCCTGGACTTGAACTTTTTCTTCCGCTTGGGGTTGGTGGCTTCCTTCTTCTTCTGCCGTTCATATCGGAGCTGCGTTCAACACGTCCAGCGAACAAACAAACGTGAACAGCGATGGTTGGGACAAAAAANGGGGCGTGGAAGTAGGCCACACGTTTTCGGACTGAACAATGTACAGCAGCAAATATTCCTGACAACCGTCGTGGACAAGCGACAGTACAACGGCGTCGACCACGACGGAACCATTACGTACAACCAACGACGAAGGGGCGTTGTAGGTGATACGAGAAAATGAGTTGCAATACACAACACCGCAGCAGAAGACCCGCGGAAACAAAGAATAGATCACAAGAGGCCATTTCAATTATGTGTCACTGCCCCAAACAAAGCACGTCAACCAGAGGTTCAACCCGGTACGGAACATAGCACGACACATCAGTCGCCGACACAAGACAAAAGGCACACACTCCTACAAGCACGCCCTAACGGATGCGCCATCACACACGATCACAAGAGGAACGCGGGACACAGAACACACCTTTTCGGCCTTCGCTTTCATGATGCTCGTACGTTTGAACGCCGCCTTGTACGCTGGTTCAGGGATCTTGTTCAGCTTGCGCCGCAGCAACTGTTGACTCCTTGTGAGAGAAGGGAGCGCGCCTCTGCATCCGAGATAAGTCCAGTCCGTGCCCTCGTCGCCAATGCTCCCATCGGAGTCGTAGTTGCCCCCCCCCGTGCTGCCGGCCGCACCACCTCCCCCTGACTTTCCCTTGCTGTCTCGACTTGGCCCTTGTTTTTTCTTGCCACCCCGATCGCTCTTCGCCGTCCGCTTGCGCTTCGATTGCGCCAGCGGCCCGTCGTCATCATCCAGCTGCGACTTCTTCGTGCTCGTGCGTTGCCACTTCAACGTCGTCTCCGCACTCCCCGCCGCCCGCCTCCTTTTCACCGGCACAGGTGACGGCAGCGAAGTGTCGCCGTCGCCCTCTCCTCCATACCGGGCGACGGAGATGATAGCGTCGAAGTCAGCTTCAAAATCAGCACCGAGCTCTAGAAAGTCGAAGTGGTTGTGGCGAGACACCGTATTTTCGTCACCCCCAACTTCGGTTCTCGCTTCCCAACTACTCCCGCTGCGGTATAACAGGTGCACCCACTTATGCCCCTCTTCGTCGTGCTTGATTTTTTTGCCAAACAGAAAGAGGCCCCACATTTTCTTCTTGTACAGCTGCACCAACTGCCCTCTCCCGGTAGGCTCCCAAACCGCAATGTTGACCCAGTACATTTCGGGGATGAGTGAAAGCCAGCACAAGTCCAGCCACCCCGTCCGTAGCTTCTCTTGCACTATCGAATCCAGCCAACCGTAGATCATCACGCCTTTGTCTGCGGGTTCAGGTGTGTTCAGCTCATACGGATGCATCCAGAAAGTTTCAGTGCACTGAAGAGCGCGAGCCCGACGCGCCTGCTCAGTCGAAAGCAGAGTGGTCATGACCGCTTGCGACGCTGATGGTCCTAGGATGTGGGAGATGATGCTGTGTTTGAGGGCACTCTTCCATCATCAGACATTCGTGGAACACGCATGTTGTTCTGTCCAAGACTCGCCTGGAGACCTTTCAGCAAGGCGTGGTAAGCACAATCCCCATCTCCGGCAACCTCGTGCGCTTGAGCTTCTCGCGGGGGCGTGAAGGTGCGGCGGGATTTCCGTCTCTTGACAATGCAGTTCACCTTGGGAAGACTGGACTCAAACCCTGCCTTGTTGGCCGCGTCACGGCCGAGGCGGTAGGCTTGGGGCAGGAGCTCTTGGGGTGTGCACACCCCCNTCCGGCAACCTCGTGCGCTTGAGCTTCTCCCGGGGGCGTGAACGTGCGGCGGGATTCCCGTCTCTTGACAACGCAGTTCACCTTGGGAAGTCTGGACTCAAACCCCGCCTTGTTGGCCGCGTCATGGCCGAGGCGGTAGGCTTGGGGCAGGAGCTCTTGGGGTGTGCACACCCCCGTAACTTCTACTTCAGGTTCGGGGCGAAGAGCAGCAGCAGACACGGCAGCAGCAGCAGCAGTAGCCATGATGGTGCGGGGGAGAAAACCCGCCAGCAGGGCGAAAATTTTTGTCTTCATCGCACCTGCTGGCGTCTGTGTGTGTGTGTGGTCTGGCGCGCACTCGCGGATCTGCACCGCAGTGGAACTCCCTGCTCGTGTATTACTTGCGGTGTGTCTGGTGTCCCCGCGTTCAGACTTCCTCTGAGAACGCGGTCTTTTCGCGCTGTCGAGCCCGCGCTTGCAGTACGACTTTCGACGAAAAACTTGTGCGACAGGAAGAGTAACAAGATTCTTATCGACACTCAGGAGGGGTGTAGTCACAAAAGGGTTAAAGCTGGTTTCACAGGGGTGAATGGGTTTTGGTAGTCGCCCCGCCGGTTGCACACAAGACGAAGCCACGAAAATGTTCTCGCTCTGCAAACGTTCCTTCAACGATGCCCGGCGCGTGTTCAATCGACTTTCTGGCACGGGGCAAAGGAAGCACTTTGTGTGTACAATTAACGTCTTCTTATGCATACACTGCTGCTGTGTTTGGGTTTGCCGTATCTTTTTCCCGCTCAGCCAAGCTCCTCGTGTTGAAAACCGAAGTCAAGGGGCGGGTAGGGGGCCTCAGGGGGAGGAACCCCACGGATTGGAGCTCCTACAGCTTTACCCTGCAGATGTATGCTATGATCAATGATCGCTGATTAACAACAAATTAGAAGCCAAGGGCTGTGGTTGCGTAGAGGCCGTCGGCGGGGTCAGCGAACACCCGTGCTACGGCTAATGCAACGCGCGGAGATTGATGCTGCAGCAGTGCGTATCAGAAGGGCGCACGGATATGGGTGCTGAAGGCGCAGGCGACGAGACCGCCCCCGGTGGTCGCTCGCCGATGCATGCCTTGCTCCACTAGCAGCCACTAGCAGTCACTAGCAGCCACTAGCAGTCACTAGCAGCCACTAGCAGTCACTAGCAGTCACTAGCAGTCACTAGCAGCCACTAGCAGTCACTAGCAGTCACTAGCAGTGCATGCCACACAACAGCGCAATCCCTCATATCAATCTATGCAGTCCCATGTGTTTGTCGACGGCTCGCACTCTTCACACGTGGCACACTTATGCCTTGCCGCGCGCGTTCCGCTTTCTATTTCTGTTCTTGTTGTAATTCAATAGCGACACAAGCAAGACAGGGAACACAGGGGCGCCGAGCATGTCGCGCTGGTACCAGAGGTTCTGGAATGCCTCCAGATCGCGCTTCCGCTAATAAATGGTGAGGATCGTTACATCGCACGGCAATAGCGTGCGCTGGATTGGGTGGAGCTGCCACGGACCTTGTACGTTCAAGTCCGGCTCATATGAGATGTTAGACTGTTAGGTGCTTTGGTTTGGACTCGCGGCTCCAACCTATCATGAGGCCTGATTGGTGCAAGGCGGTACCTCGAAGCTAGCGTTCCGTTTGCCTCCGACGTGAGTGTCTGGGATGACCATGAAAAACTTGGCCCCTCGCCTCTGATCGCGGGTAGAATGCCTACTAGCTCTGAAGCTCATCACTGACGGACTACATGTTGCCAGTGTGCCACCCCGCCCAAATCTGGTCATGCGCCTACGGTACAATAGCCAAGGTGACCTCGCTGATGCCTCCTGTGCATACGTGAGTCCTTGTTTGCGCCCCCGGCCGCGTCGTCAGAATGCGGTGTCGTTGTGTCACCGCCCCAGGACAACCTCACCAGCTGACCCTCATATTCAGCTTTGTTTGTGCACGTTAATCCAAAGACCGCCTACGTCCCCCGTCCCTCTGCCCCACATGCCCTGACTCTCAGATGAACGTATTGAGTAGCGGCGGCATCGACATCGGTTGTTTCACGAGGAACCCCCTCCCGGCCCAACCCCGATTTTGCGATTCATGTCCCCACTAGAAAAACGGCTCCACGACAAAGCCAAACTGCTGTCGGTTTTCCAGCTGTGCGAGGAGGCCGTTCTGGCAGCCTCGGACGACTGCAGCGACGACAACGACGTCTGCACGAGGACGCTGGGGCTGGCGAAGGCGGTCGTCGTGGACATGCTAGCTCACAAGCGACTGGGAGAGGTGAGAGCAAGCAAACCTGCTGCCAACATCCTGGAGTACAGCAGGGGATGGATCGAACAATCGCGAATCACCCTCACGCTTTTGGATCGAACCCTACGCCCAATGATGCAGAATGAGGAAGTCCATTGGGTCAGGTTTGACTTGGGTGTGTGTTGTGTGTGTTGTGTTTTCGTCCTATTTATTATGGCGACAGTCCCCCCATTTTTCGTGTTGAGACGTACTACACTCTTCAGCGTATGTAGAGTACTACACTTTTCAGTGTATTTTTTCGTACAACTACAACCATCCAGGGTCACACAGGAGGGGGTAAACACCAGGGCTTTTTTCTCCTTTTTATTTCTTGCCATGCCCCACCTTCCTCCTGCGGTGCGTGCTGAATTTTTTTTTATCGCGAGAAGGGTCCAGCCGTCCCTTTCCCTCGTCAACGGTGCTAACGTTGAAGTTTGGTACTCACGAGAGCTTGTCAGCTATATTTCGCTTTCACCCGCACATTTCGTAATTTTTTCACCCCATGGGGATTCGAACGCACGACCTCTGCGACTAGCGGATTACGAGGATACTACTAGACCACCGGGGCGACCGGTGGTCTACTGTAGTTTCGGGTGAATACTCGATTGCGTGCGACAGTTGTTGACTTTCATCTTAGAGGTTAACGGTAGAGGCGTGTGAAAATAAGCTGTTCCTCTCAGCGAGGAGAGCAGACGAATGAGGACGTTGGGGAGTTTTAATGCGGTCGTCGTTGTTGCTGCTGTTGTTGCTTTTTTTTTTTTTTTCATACCGGTTGTTCGGCCCCTACACCTTTCGATACAATTTCTTGACGAACCAGCCGGGGTCACCCAGGAAGGAGGCCACACAGTACGGTGCTTGCCTTGACTTTCATCGCGAGAAGTATCAGGCCGTTTCTTTCCCTCGTCAACTGCGAAGAGGACTTTTTTGCGTTCACATGGATTTTGCGTACACATGAAATTATCGTTTTCCACATCGTTTGGCCATATCGTGAGAAATATATCCCGGTTTGTCTGACTCCACCGAGATTCGAATCCACGTCCCGAACGTCAAAATGTTGCGAGGTTGCCTACTGAACCACTCAGCCGCTGTTGTCTTTTTGCTGTTTTGTCTTCTCTTTCGACCAGATTTTGGGCCAACGGTTGCATTCCTTGCTTGTTTTCGGTTACCGATCTCTCCTTATTTACTCTATCCTCCTCTGCTCTCCTTCTTCGTAGCCTTCCCTCTATCTCCCCTGCCTTTTTTGTCGGCTCTTATTCTGCATCTTTCTCTTCCTCTTGGCGTCCGTTCTGCACCTCTCTTCTGCCGTCCCTCAACGTATCTGATCTTATCCCTCCGCTCATTCCCGTCCGCAGGTGCGGACATCAACTTGTCGTGAAAGGCTAGACCGGTACGTCCAAGAGATAGACGACCTACTTTGGCGTTTAGACGAAATGCTGACACACTCCACGGGCAACGCTAGGAGCGGCGGCGGCGGCGCTAGTGGCGGTGGGCCGGTCCCCCTCCTTGCTAACCCTTGGAGCGAAGAAGAGAGGACGGTCATGAATCAACTTTGCGAGCATGTGAGCGCTCCAGTGTGTGCTGGTATTTGTTTTGACGTGCTCTCCAAGTGAAAAGGGTGATGAATGTTAATTTGAGGTGCTCTGACTCTGCAGCAGATGTATGATTTGTGATAGTTGACGCGTGCTTAGCTGGCGTTTTCCATGGTGGATGTCGGCCCGGCCGTTTGCTTAAACCGAGGAATCCATGCATTGACTGTGATGTGGCTACGCTTGATCACGATACGCCACGGTGTTGTTGAGAGGGATTGGCTCATATAAAATTGCTTGGGTTTGGCTGATGATTAGGTGTCTTGAGCAATGGGAGACCCGGTGCAGTACGGTCGACGCTCCTGCCACGGCCGGTGCGGCGCTGTTTGACGGGGCCGCTCCTCCAATGTGTCAGATTACCGACATCAGCCTCCGCTACAATCAAAAAAGTTCCCTTTCCGCGGATGACGGATGTTTGTAGGGTTGCATTTGCGAGTCAGCGTATGGAATCCAGTAATCCAACTTTTGCTGCACACACCAAGCGGCCGGCAGCTCGCAACACACAAAGGTTGTGTTTCAATACGCCACCTTCCCGTTGCCCCCGCCCCTGCTGTACTCGAAACCCATCCGTCGTTCTTTTCACTCATCCCTGACACCTTGGGGATAAAGCGTTTCCTGGCACTTGTGCCCCACACGTCGTACTACGAGACAGTGGAAGGCGTGAGACAGGGCGTCGAATGGGCCCTCAGGTGCGTGTGCGTAGGAAGGGAGAGCATATTTTCTTGTAAGGCGGAAGACAGAGTCGTCGTTCAGCGATATGTGTATGTACAAAATGTGTCCACCGACAGGTTTTCAACCATTGTCGGAGTTTCTCCCTCCCGGGGGTGTACATACACCATACAGTACTCCAACGCTGCTGGCAAACATTCTTCGTGGTTTTGTAAGGCAATCGTGCGCACTCAACATGACACCTGGGGATTAATCCACATTTGGCGAAGATGCGAAACCGCGGTGGGGTTTAAGGTTATCATGCAGTGCCCATTTCGTCGATAACTAACGCCCACTTTGTATGGACAACCGGAGACATACTGTATTGGAGTCTTGACGTTTTCGCTGATTTGTAGGCACGTACACCCGCGAATGCCATCGACTTGTTTTGACGAATTAAACAGGCAAAGATTCTCCCAAGCGAGAGTGTTGGTCTTTGGCTCATCCGCAATGAGCTTGTCCACACCCGAGAGCGACATCGACCTGACCCTTCATCTCCCTTCCAGAGTGGAGCTCATGCAAGAGCTCAAGGTAAGAAACGAAAGAACACGTAGCTTAAGCCTGCCCGTGGCTCTCCATAGAGTTGATTCACGAGCCCCAAGACGACAAAGTGAACTAAAACTGAGCAGCCCTTGCCAAATCCAGTCCGGAGGATGACGATCAAGGGGAGGACCGAGCTACCAACCTTACCTGTTAAGCTCGCGACCATCAGTATCTGTAGGAATCGTAAGCCAGGGTCCTGGGCACTCTCGCAGTCGGTTTGATCTCACTTTGTTGAAGGCACTTTGTGAATTCAAGAGAAACGTCGGTGCATGCGAGTTGATGCGGCATAATTTTCGGTTGGGCCCAAGGATCCTACTGACGCCCGGACAAGCTGTGTGCAAAATGAAATCAATCACACGTTTTTCGAACCGCTGAAAATTGGTATTTGTGCTCTACGGGGGGGCGTTCTCTTACGTTTTTCATGCCACAGTAGCAGTTAGACCATTGGCCACGTGTCCTCGAGAGGAATGAGCGTTGTTCCCAAGGACCGATCACCAACGGCCAATCGTTCCTTCCTACTTTGCCAAAGGTGGCTCAATGACGCTTTCCTAGCCTATATGTCCTATCGATACCACTTGCCGCCTTTCAACCTACTTCCTATGTCCCAGTACAGCTGCCGTCTTCTCCTGGCTATCCCATGTCTCAAACATCTTCCTGTATCTTCCTTCTGCTTTTCCTAGCTCAGTCATGTACACTTCCCTCTCCTTGTACGACGGACATCCCGCAACTACTTTACATGAACCCGGTCGTCGCACTGGGAGCCGCATTCACATTTGAACTTGTCGCCTTCATCGTCTAACTTCCGAAATCTTCGCCGGCGTTCTCGAAGGCCATTGTCCCCGGTCCTCAATTTTGCCTTCAGTTTTTTCCCTGCATCCATTGGTCCATGTAGGTTCTCCTTGAACCCCGTTCCTTCTTTCAACAGTCATGCACATTTGGACGCTCTTCATCCTTGGCTTCTTTGGTTAGACTCTGTACTTCCCTCTCGGCAAAATCAACAGATATCTTCTCCTTGAATCCCCGAAGGCCGTCCGTTTCCAGAATATCACCTTCGTCAATTTCGAACTCGTTGCATACATACGTCATCCACAACCTTGATCCGCCCCGTGGGTTGTCTACCCCTCTAGTTTGCCCACTTCCAAGCCATTCTCGGCAACCTCTCCTCTCCCTTATCGCACATGGGGTACTGCCATTCTAGGTTGCTTGCGTCTCTTCCCGATCGCAGGGATTGGATCCCCAGTTCTTCTTCAGCACTCTCCACATTTCCCCTTTTCCTATAATTGCACAATTGTTTCCATAGTCCATTTTTCCCTGCTGTTTCGTATGGCTTTTGCACGTCCATTCCCCGCCCTCTTTCTACCTTGGATGATTTTCCCTACCATGAGTGCGTGGACTATGCACCCCCTCTTTTTTGGGAAACCTGCTTGGCCCTCACTTTTCCTACCTTCCTATCAACTCAACATCTTCCAGAACGCTGTTCCTACTGTATACAACAGTGTGCCTCCCTATAATTTCCTGGGTCGGTCTTGTGTCCGTTCTTAACCCTCCTAGTACTGGGAGCCCAAACGGGGACACAGCACTCAAAGTGCCTGTTTACAGCACCGTGGTCGTCACTATGCTCCGCTGCGTGAAACGTTGGTCTTGTCTTGGTCTTGTGATATTCTGCTGTGTGATGCCTGTGTCCCTCTCCTGGACCTCTGACTTGCTGTACACAATCTCCCAAGCCGTGGGTCCCCTTGTTGGTAAAACTGAACATTGCCTAGTAGTACTGGAAAATATTCTGACTTGGCTTCAGTATAGAAAGTGTGCCCAGTGCATTTGGGGAAAAATTCTACACTGAAGCCAAGTCAGCCTTCGGCCCTCGGAACTGTACTGTACTGCCTCTCGCAATGAGTGTACGCGATTTTTCTGGACCCATATCCTGTAACTAACTGGGTACTAGGAGGGTTAACAAGGACATAACCACCCTTGATGTACAACATTCATGGTCCACACCCAGTTGTACAGCAGTACACACCATCAACTGGATCATTCCCTTCCCCCCAAACTTGATGAACTTGTTGACTATCCCATCCGCCCCTGCTGCTTTGTGGCACTGCATCTTGTTCACAAAAGTCTCTTTGCCCCATGGGGTGGGCGTATGGTATGCCTGCTCTACGTATCTCGATACCTGTCAGGGCGTTGTCGAGTCCAAGACAAGAGCAGTCTTGATGGCGGAGGAAGGGCAGGCCCACGCTGTGCAGCTACTGAAGCAGAGAGCATCCATGGAAGACAAGTGAGCAGGGCGAAACTTACGCTTAAACCTCTTCTTTCACGCGATGTGAGCGTCTGCATCTAGAGACGCTGTAAACTCGCGCTTGGGTGGCGTTTCAGTTTGTTTTTTTACATGGCTTTCGTCAGCAGATGTTTGCACGCCTGCATCCGGATGGTGTTTTGAAATGGTGATTCGTCAAGCTATGTGCCGCTATAGGCCCATGCACAACTGTTTGTCCAATATTTCCCTAGCACCAAGGTGCACTTTTCTCGGGGTATGGCTGGTTGTTCCGAAATCCGAAAAAAACGGCAAACGCCGTCTCCAGGAGCAGGTCGCTGTTGTTCTACTTTTTTTGTTTTTCCTTCGTAGTCTATAATCTTGAATGAGCTGATATGTTTGATTGTTTTTTTTGGGTGTTGTTTGCCGATTTCAAATATCTCATGGATTTGAATATATCTCGGCATTTGCTATGAGCGTTCTTTTCTATATCATTCGAAATTGAGAAAGTGATGAGCAAAAACCGGATCTGGGATGCCAACTTGAAAGCTTTTATAAACGAGATCCACCAAGCCGATTTTCAAATTAGAGTGCGGCAAACTACTCCTCCCATCAATCCCCGTAAGCGGTTTTGTTTTCCGAGAAAAAATCTTGTTCGTGAATAAACCGACATTTTTGTTGGCTCCAAACGCTTGCGTAGTACACTGCGGGGGTAATTTTAGAGGGGGCTCGTGGTGATAAAATGGGGGCACCGCGGTGGCATAGGGGACTCCGTGGTGGTAAAGGGGGTTCCTTGGATTATTTTTTGGCCAAAAATGATGCATTCTTTGAGAAAAAAAGAAACGCCGCAGCTATCGATTTAGCTAGACGAGGCGATCACGAATATGGTTGTTTCACAACTTTATTCTGTCTCTTTCGAAAGTTTTCCCACAAAACGTGACTGGACAAGTTGTTGTGCATGGACTATACGTGTCTGTCAATTGCGGAGGAGAAGGCGCAACTCGTGTCCTTCTGTGTTGGGGTAAACGACAGCACACGGTACACTGCATTCGGGGGGGGATTCGGTGATACCCAAAGGCGCACAGAGAATTGACTGTGCAATTGACCCATGACGTGCAGGTTCTACGCACAAGGTGGAGCAAGACGAAAAACGCCTGTGTGGCCGTCCTCCCGTGTGAATACGGCTGATATGGCCAAAACTATTCCACAATGCGAGACAATCGACACCCAGAGTAGAGGACCGCGGCTCACACAGTTGGATTATCTTGTCTCTCGTCGTGTTATCTACTCTCGGAACTTTTTCTTGGCGAGCGGTGGGACGTGTACTGGATTTTGTGTTCACGTCTTTGGCCTTGTGCTTTGTTGGAGACAGATGCTTTGGCCCAACAACACCCTGTTGTAGGATTCGGAATGCATGGATGTTGGACAGTCCTCTGGGAACCCTCTTTTTGTCGAAAGAAGCACCGGGGCGTTCTCAAAGGCGAATAATCACGATGGTCAATACATTCTCTGACCGACAACGCGTCGGGAGCGTGTTCGGCGTTGGTCGCTTTTTTCCAACCGGAGCATCCGCCGGACACACACGAACACATGCTGCGGGCCTCACGCCCGGCAACCCACGGACGATTGGGCCAAAACAGCATCTACGATAATGTTTCAGATCTACGGTAGAGGCGACATTTGTAAGTGGTTGGTTCTTCGATGTTTTTCGTCTGTCGGATCTCTTCGGCTAAAGACGTAATCAACGGGCGAGCGCAAGATCATCGCTTACAATGTGGTAGTGCTTTAGAGTCTGGCGGTGCCATACGGCACTTGGGAGTTTCACGCCGGCACACCCGTCACAGCTCAACTCGTGTGTTTGTCAGAAAGGAGTGCCGGGGAAGTGGTGCTGAATTGTTAGGTTGGCTTGTAAAACTGTTTCTAACAACAACAACGAGTGAGGGTGTTGCTGCGTTAGATGCGTTGGACCGAGTAGGACGCCCTACGGCGATCTCAAAGGAACAGAGGTACGGGGGAGAAGCTTAACAGCGATTGCTCTGGAGCTTTTATCCTTCACCGGTGATTTTCAAGGGTGGGGAGGGCGTTCACAGCAGATTTTACGGTGTATTACACCGGATTACTTTGCAATCAGTGACTTACTGCTTTATCCTCACGAATTTCGAGGCGACAACACGTTGTGACCTGACCGTGTCATTTGTCGTTTGTCGCATGTACGGCGTTCTTGCACAGATTGTCGAAACTCAATGGCACCAAGCGGGGAAAACTGAACGACCTGTCGGCCTTGACTCTGTCCAGAGACAAATCTGCCCAGAAGCTGCATGCAATGAAAGCTGCTCATGCCGCCCGAAAGATGCGGAAACTGGAGACTTCCTCGCAACAAACGCAGGATTCGGAAAAGTCGGAAAAAAGTCAAACACCTCGCAGCAAGGACGAGCAGGTCCGGCGGGCATTGAGCTCTTCCCTTTCACTTGCTGCATTGTAGTCGATTCCTTGAGTTGTGTCCCGCTTTTTTTCGCACGTGCTTGATTGTTTGTGTATGGCTCTTGTTACGGACATTGCATCGATGTACCATTCATGTCTGGGCGATGTTCGGAAAGCTTGTGCTAGTTTCTGGTTTCTTTGTGTTGGTACTTCCTCCTTTGTTGCGCGTATTTCGTACGTGCTTTCTGTTGCCGCATGGCTGCTGCTGCTTTTTCATTTTAGGTTATATATTGAAAATGGGCACGGTAAAACAGGGGTGGTTCTGGTGTACATGCGTCTCTCTTCCAGCGGCTTCGATTTATTGTTCTTTTTGTGTTTCGCATATTCATCCCGTTCGAATGTGGGTGTATCTCGAACTGGTAGTCTTTCTGTGTGTGTATTTATTTATCCAAGCTTTATTTAGTAGGCCCATTCCGTGATAAGTTTGTTCTAAATTCATGCCGTTTTAGTCAGGAGCACACGTTTCCTAGTCCTATACATTGTTGTACGTAATGTTCCCGCGTGTAGTCTGGCAATGCTTGGAGGCCACGAATAACGGGGGGTGTTAAAACAAGTGGTGCTTGCCTTGCTGCTGCTTTTCGGTAGCAACCCACGCAGAGGCCAACCGGTGCAGCAACAGCCGCAAGGGTACCTAATCCCGAGCCCGTGGCTTGTGCCGCTGAAGACAAGGACAAGGACCGCAATGATTCTCGAGATGGACAACGGGCAGCCGAGCCAGAAGAGGAGGACAGAGAGGTGGTGTTGCTGGAGAGCAAGCTGGCGGCCAGGGAGCGAGGGATCAAGACAAGCCGGCGAGCGGCCACGGAGGCGGAAGCTGCTTTTGAAGAGAAAAAGAAGGAGCTTGAGGACTGGACCAAAGAAAACTTTGACAACGCTAGCCCCGAACAGGTGTGACTTGCCTACTTCAAAGCGTTACTGCTTTCGATATCGTTGTTCCTTCTGTTGCAAGTGCTCTCTCCCCGTTTTCGAAGCCGGATGGATCTTTGAATGTATCTGTTATTCCTCCAGGCGTGTCCGTTGTGCAAGGAGGTAGTTTTTTTTTGCGAACTCCCTCTTTCGTGTATAGTCTAAAGTCATGATGCTACACCTTCTGGAGTTGTTTTTTTTGTTCGAAATCAAACCAAGGCGGACCTTGCGATGGCCGGGAAAGATGAGGAGCCGTGCCGACACCAGTTGAGTGCAGAACAACAACAACAACAATACAACTCTCGCACGATGTTTTGCACGTGACCACCCGCAATCACAGAAGAAGGTTGTGCAAGCCATCATAAAGTGCAGGGCATCACTGGCAAAGGCCCAGCAGAACCTCAAGGCGACGAGCAAAATCGTGTTCGAGATGAAGAGGGTAATGGAGAGAAAGGGCTTCACGGACGTGAGTTGCACCTCCCGCGCTGTTCCCACCCTCTCGGTTGATTTATGATATTTACGGGTTGTTGTTGGTGACGTCGCTATTTAGTGTTGTTACTGATGTTGCAATTGCTGCTGTTAGTTGTGCTGGTTCTGGTGAGCTTGATGATCTGAGTTGGGGTTGTGGAGGTTGTGGCTATGTGGTTGCATTTTGGCTTTGCCTGATTAAAGGAGGGTCCGCGTCCGTGGCGCAAGACTGGTTGTGCGCATAAACTCACCTGCTAACTGTTTCGCAAGATGATCATTTTCGCGTCCGCCCTGGTTTAGGTCATGGCTGTTCACAGAAGCCGAGTGCCAGTGGTTAAGACGTGTGTGCCGCGGCGCCTGTGGGGCCCCGCCGGGCGTCCGATTGAATGCGACATCAGCGTCAACAACCTCGTCGCCGTGCACAACACTCGCCTCGTTAAGGCCTACACCGACCTGGTACGTGCTTGCTGTTTCGCTGAGCTGTTCTTGTCGGCGTTCTTGCAGTTGTTGGTGTTTTCTCGGTTGAGAAGCTTGTCAAGGCACGCCTGCCTGTGCAAACAAAGTACGCGAATGTCGGTTAACCCTCGAGTGTGGGTTTCATCAAGCCGCCCCTCGATCGGCGCCTGGTCATCACCATGTTATGCCGTGGCGCGCACCCTGGCGTTTTTTTAACTTGTCTAGTGCCCGTCATACAGGTACTTGTGGTGATGTGCGCCCACTATTCATGATGTTGTACCGTGTTTTTCGTACCGCCTTCGGGCACCAGCGTGTACCACCGTAGGGTTTATGCGTGTAGTTTGGTATGTATTATCGACATCGCCCTACATTGCTTCTGCGTGCTTTCCCTCCTACTCGCTTACGTTATCCTCAATAACCCTCTGTGCCTTGGCAGGACCCGCGATGCCACAGGCTGCTATACTTAGTGAAGGCCTGGGCGAAGGCGAGGGGAGTGGGAGACTCATCGAAGGTAAGTATTACTGAGGTCGGAGATGGTAGATTCAGCGTAATGTTACAGGGTGAGTGGTGCAAAATAATGGTTGAAACCGAAGTTGGGGCAACCGCAGGCCTTAAGTGGCTAAAATCGTGGTCGACGTTGAAGATTGTCGCCGCCGCTTCTGCTGCGGTTGTTGTCGCTGTTGATATTGCTCTTGTTGCTGGTGTTGTCGTTGCTGTTGCCTTCATATTGAAAATATGTTCTGACCTCTGCATGTCCAATCCTCCATGCAGCCTTTATCCCTGACGCATGATTCCGTTTCGTCCCACAATGTTGTCCGCGTGCGCGCGATAGGGCACGCTGAGCTCGTACGGCCACTGCCTCACCGTCCTCCACTATCTTACGCGAGTCGGCGTGGTTCCCTCGCTTCTCAAGGTATTCGGTGGCCGCTGGCTTCGGGGTTGGGTTTGAGTTACGGTTGGCTTACCTTCTCATTCTTGTCCTCGCTTCTAGGATTGACTGTTGTCTTGTTTTTGTGTAAAGCGAACAACTTCCGTCGTAACGCCACCAGGAAAAGCGATAACCACGGCACGCCTAGGTCTGATATGTAGAATTTTCGATTTACCTGGGTCATTTCGGCGCTGCTCAAGCGCGAAACGACACAATGGTACGCTGCTCTCCCTGGTTCGTCATTCAAATTGCGTCTTTAAGTGGTGTCCTGCATTTTCCACTGTACGCTGGGTAAGAGACAGGCACTCCTCCGTGAAGTAGGCCCTTCGTCCCATGTGTTGATCACACCTTCGATCTTCCCCCTCCTCGATTCTGTCCGTCTTACTCTCCGACCATCTCTCTTGATTTGATCACGGATCTGGGATTTTCCTACCAGGAGCACAAGTCATTCTCCAAGGAAGCAGGCGCCCAGCCTACACCCCGTGCATTCGACCACGGGGACGGTGCCTTCATTGTAGAAGGAATCGATGTGTCCTTCTCCAAAATCAACTCGGAAGCCCTTCCACCCTGTCCCCTCCCGGGGGAAAATCACTCCCCGCCCCTGCCCCGTGACACAGCGGGCCGAGCAATTCACGGGAACGCCTCGGAAGCCGACAGCAATCAGGCGGTGGCAGACTCGTATCCTGATGTTGCAAATGATACCGCAAATGGTAGCAGGAGCGGGAGCGAGGGTCTAGCGATTCGAGATGCAACCATTTGCGATCTACTGTTGGGCTATTTCAGGTACCTGGCCGAAGACTTCTGCCACGCCAAGGAGGTGGGTTGGGAGGAGTATTATTTCAGGATGTTGTCCGTTGATTTGTTCTGGTGTGTTTATTTATTTTCTGAGTTCGTGTCTCCCTTGGATTTTACTTTTGGCTCTGACGTTCCTGTGGGGTTACCTATTGCGTGCACTTCTTTGTGGGTTCGTGTCGGGTGTGCTTTATCGGATTGGCGGAAGGATGCCACGATTCATGCTACTTGCAGAGAGTGAACGGTGAAATCAGCAGCAGCAGCGGCAGCAGCAGGTGAGTGATGCCTTGGGAGCAGCAGTAATAACTTACCTCCCTCCCATGATGGGTGAAAAAATCAACCCTCGTTCACGTGTAGCATTCGTCGAGATATCGGTGAACACAGTGCATTCGATGGAAGCTGGAGAGGGGGTCTACGTGTGCGGTAGGGGTAGGTGGTTGATGTGGATTGGCGGAAGTCTCGCCGCGTAACTTTGGTTCGACACCTTCGTCGGGAGAAATTTCGCGACCTTTTGCTCCAGATCGCGCGGTTATTGTCAAAAGCAAAATTTTATAACTTTTGGCGCATTATTTTGCTCCCGAAAAGAGTGTACATGAGAAAATTTGCAAGAAAAGTTTGGAAACTTCGACTTTTTTCGCAACTTTTTGCTCCAATAAAAAGCGGGGTGAAAAATCCACGATAGCTAGTTTACAATGTGAGCGGTCGTGGATTTTTGATGCACCAGTCACTGCGAGAACACAACTTGGTGGTGGCAGCGCGAAATCCGGCTACACCATACAACTTATCTAGGTTGCCAACGCCGAAAAGGGGTAGCTTTCGACAGATCCAATCCAGAGATTTTCTTGCACGTATCGGTCGGTTGTCGCATCATCTAGGCTGTGGAGCAATCAAACCTTGAAAGTCGGTCCAGGCGGTATGAGATGACTCCCATGTTTTACGGCAATATCTCTCTTGTCGGTTTTGATTTGTCAACAAACCAGGTAATGACCCTGCGTCCGAAGACCATCCTCAACAAAGCCGACGTGTGGGCCAGACCCAAGGTATGAATTTGACAGCAAGTGGGCATGGTGACTAGCCAGCCATGTCGCCGTGTGAAGTGTGCAATGCCGGCAGACCGGTTGCTGGTGATGCCCAAAATACAACGAAAGCCGGAAGAGAGATTCCGGCTGTAGAGTACCTAGTTCGCGCAGAAGTAATATCTTCGTTGTGGGTCAGACAATGCAAACCTCCCCGACATGTTTCCGACTCTAATCCTAGCGCTACCTTGCCCTGCCGTGACCGCAATAACAGCTATGGCGTACGAGTGTGGAAGATCCTTTCGAGACTTTCGACAGCATCAACCCGCATGATCTGGGCACGGTTCTTTCGCGCACTGGCCAGACGCTACTCCACCAACAATGGAAGAGGGGGTGAGTGTGTTGTCCAAGTCACACGAAATCGGCTCAGCCCGGACCACGTTCATAACGTGAAGGGCCCGAACACCTTCTGTTGCACCGCGGCTCTGCAACTCGTCAGGCATACCCACAAAGAGTCCGTGTTGAACGACGCTCTTGACGACATTCCTTATCCATGCCGAGGTATGAACAGCCCGCTTGGTGCTTCTCGTATTAAATACATGTCGCTGGAGAGAAGCAACGAATATATGTTACCACATGCATGCTGCACCGCGAACGTTCACGCAGGTACGCCATAATGAAGAAAGGTGGTTCGAAGGCAATCCAAGAGCTGTTCGAGACGTGCGACAGGGCCGCGAAAAACGGGCCCAAGAACGTTCCTGGTCTTGCCAAGAAGGACGGCGGTGGTGCCCGCGGCGGAAGGGTGGCCGGCACTGGCAACGGTCGCAGCACGTACGTACAAGTATCACCTTTATTGTTGGACCTATGTCTCGGGAATATCGGGGTGCTTGTTCGTCGGGGAGAAGGTCGGCAATAGACATTGCGCAGTGGCCCTTGATACTAAGGTTGGGCTCGCTCCTGGTGCTGTAGCTCACGACACACATGTCGCTTTCGGGCGTGCTCGGAGAGCGGTTTAGTTCACTTCTGCTCTTCTGCAAATTCTACCTTCTGCTGAAGCCAATCCCATTTTTTTGGAACATCGTGGGATTCTCCATATTGTCGGTGGGTAGCATGGAGTCACGACCATCGGCAAGTGTGAGAACCAGCCATCAACAACAACGACACCGGATATATAGCTATACTGTACCCTGAAACAACTCTCCATTGGATCGCTATTGGCTTGTACATCATTCGTGTTTCGTGTCATGCGTGTCTGTGTGCTGTTTTCCTTCGTAGAGCTGTGCAAGGACGGGAACACCAGCACGCCAAAAGAGGTGCAGGGCGACTGTGGAGCCCCGCAGACGCGAACGGGAGTCACCACCATCGTCAGCAACAGAAGCATCGCCCCCAGGAACGAAGGGCGCCACTCGCCCTCCGCGGCATACCTCAAGGTTTTGCAGAAACTCGTAGAACTGGCAACATATATTTGTTGTCGTTGCATACGAGACGAAACCACGTGTCCTCCGGGGTCACTAACAGTGCAATGCTAGATGCTGTAGTTTCTTACCGATTCACGAACAGTACACACCCGCGTAGCGCACCCACGACCTGGATGCAGGTGTCTTACGTGCTTATTAGTGGCTGGACTAGAACGTCTAGAGCGTCAGTTCCCGTCGGGGTTTCGGCAACCGCAGTGGGTTGATCGCACGTCGTTTTTCAATGTGCGGTTGGAATATGTCAATCTCAAGAATTTTCTTCCGAGCGGAAAAATCAAATCGAACCCAAAAACTATCGCTGAGAACACTCTGGGAACTATTGCTGAGGACCAAGCCTTTCAATATATTTGATGCTGGACATGCACGATTGTATTTCGAGTGGTTGCAACCAATGAAAGTTCATCCCTACATGCCCCACAGGACAAGGTCGATCGCTACTGCCCATGGCAGAGATGCATCAGCAACAGCAGCAGCACGCCCACCACCACCAACAGCACCGCCAGAGACAGCAACAGAAGCATCAACAACTGGCATTCCACCACGCTAACGGAGCTCACCGTCACCTGCGGTACCAGCAACAGCGGCACACGTCGTACAACGCTGTGAGCTTGCAGCCGCAGCAGCAACAGCAGCAACAGTCGCGGCAGCAACACCACGTACAATCACAGCAATATCCATCTCACAACGTTGCCCTGACAGATGGAACCGTCGGCGGCTTCGCGGTTCTCGCCGAACAACCCGTCACCCTTCCACTTCAAACCGGGTTTCCACAACAGCAACCGGTACACCCCGGGTACCAACCTCCGCCGACGATGCCCATGAACCCACGGCAGGAGATGACAGGGCGAGGAGGCAGTCGACAACAAGGCCGTGGAAGAGTTGATCCTCGGAGCCAGGAAGGCAAAAGCGCGCCGGTAGGAGGTGGGAGGCGCCAAGGAGGACGTGGAGAAGGGTTGAAGCGGGGCCGGAGGGGAAAGGGGGTTCGTAACGGAGGACCTGACGGAGCGAGTGGGGGTTCGTGATCAACTGTTTTTTCTTTCTTTTAGCTGTTGAAATGGGTGCTTGTGAGAATTGCCAATCAGGTATGGCGTGACTGAGCGGTGGTAGAGACTGCATGCTGGCAGATTGATGCAGGTCTTGTCTTGTTCGTTCGTGATGGATTGGTGGGAGTGGTGTTGCATTGTATCTGTAGGCCAAACGGGTACAAGTAAGGGCAACACAATCGGACTTTTTTGCCAGGGTGTTCACCAGTCCGAAGTAGAGAAGACGTGACTGACGAGGGAACAGTGTGTCCTTCTGAGGGGATTGTCGGTCGCCGGTGGTGCTACATTTCATGCACGAGCCTCGAGTGTTGAAACAGTTAAGAAGACTCACTCGCTCACCTTTGTCGCTGAAAACAGTTCGTGCGTAGAACCGGTTCCTCAGGGCTGAAGATCTATGGAGAACTGAGCTTACGTTGTTCATACGGTATTTGACAGGTCGTGCGCCAGCTTGCTGGTCACATCCATGTAGACGTAGTAGGTCATCACAGCTTCTCTTCCATGGCAGTATTTGCCACGCGAACGGCATTGAACAGTTCGCTTGACATAGGAAACACGGATGGATGAAGCATGCGAAAGACAGAGTAACGGGTGATGACATGCACATTAGCAGGCTTTGGCTTTGATTTTATTTTCCACATGGGTGTTGAAATAAATATATATATTTTTTTTGAAGCGTTCTGTTGAAACGTGTCATCATGAAGAGACATACATGTTGAGGTTGTCCCTTCTTCGTAGATACGGCATAGTCTAACCGCCGCCCCTTCGACACCTTTTGTCTAGAGGGAAAATAGCTTTTGAATTCGTCACGGCATTTGCGGCTTTGGCCCAGACATGTAGGAAACCATGTCCACATAATAATACCATGCATGAATTCCCAGGACATGCCAACACATTTATTGGCAGATTACGAGCTCCGCAGGCAAAACGCTTTTCGAAACGCGATAGTCCCGAGTGCTGACAACAATTCCCAAGCTCGTTTGAACTTGGGTCTCTCTTTTGTTTAGCTTCAGTCTCATCGTTAGATATCCGTGGAAATTTCATTAGCATGCCCTATAGACTATCCCTTGCCCGACCCGGTCAAAATGCTGATCTCGAGCTACTGTGCAAATCTCGTGGCGCCTCGAGTATGGTTCGGTGTGGAATCGCAAATCATGAGCCGTCCCCGAGTTTGAGCAGCTTCCGCCTCCTGTGGCAGGCGAGAGTCGGCCTTGACTGTTCCTTTCCTGTTTCGCCATGGAAATGGCCGGTCGAACACTGAAAGAGGGTCCTGCATGCTGCGCGCCACATTTTATTTTTTTTCGTTTGTGCTTGAGTGCCCGTTGTAGACATGCGGCTGCTGCTGCGGTTGCTGTTGTTATGCTCGGAACGTGCTGCAATGGTCGTAAGGTTGTCGTAGTCTGGTTTGTCAACAGTCTGCTCGTTCGTGTTGCGGTAGTGGTGCGCATCGATCGCGACGGCAAGCGCATTGAGATAATTGTTCGTCGGTCGATCTTCTAGTCTATTCTACGCAGAATGTCGTGTTCTTCTTTGTTGCCACTTCATACCAGCAAGAAAGTCTCCACAGTTCGGAAACGATGACTTTTTTCTTCTGTTGTGTCTTTGTTGCTGAGCGCACATCAGATGTCGCCCTTCGTTACACGTGTTTAAGCCTGCGGTGGGCCAGAGGGATGAGAGTGAGTGTCTCTTCGACAGTACATGCTTTGTCTTGTTGAGTCTCTAGTCCTTTAGTCTACCTCTCTCTCTCTCTCTCTGTCGTAATTCGCCGCTAGGGTCCCCCAACAACGTCGAACGTCAACGTCAACGGCAATCGTTTTCGCTTCTTGCTGAGTAGGAGGCTACCCGTGTACCCGGCTGCTGCTGCATGTGAGGCGACGGGCGCCGCCTCTTTCCGTCAAGCAATGGGCATGGCCCCTAACGTTCGCTGCATGCAGTGCTATATGAGTGACAGCTTCCACCGGTTCAGAGCGGCGACGGTGGTTTTTCGCCGGTGGGGCCCCGAGAACAACGCGAACCGCGACTATTTCATTGTTTTGGGGTCCCCCACTTACCCACCCACCCGTACTTGTAAGCACTTAGGGCTAGCGTGCATAACATCCATGTAAACTCGCCGACGGTGAAACTTCCCTTCTAGTTTCAGGTGGAGCGCCTTTGGTGGAAGTCGCGGCAGCGCTTGGAGATACAACACGGAAGTCTTATCCACTGAAGACTGCCCTTGCCTGCGTTATTTTATTCACCATCTGTTATCGGCAGCATTATACGGCTCCATGTATAGCAACGGTCGACACAATACCCGTGTTCCGTACCTGTCGTATCCGCCCCTGCTTACTTGGACTCGGCAGCAACGCCTGCCTTGTCGTCGTTCCCTTATGTAGCATATGCGGGTACACACTATTAGGCCCTCGCTTCTTCTTGGACGTGTGTCATTGCTCTCCTTATGTTGTCATGTGATGACTGAGCTGCGACCTTAGCTTGTGCTAGCCTGCAAGAGCGCGACCATAATGTGCCCAGACACTTGTCCTTGAAAGCTGTAGTCACATGTACGTCCACGGTTAGCGGGTGGTTGTCGATTGGAGGGCCTGGGTTGCTGTCCCCGCCCCCCCTCCCCCCCCTCCCGTTGCTGCTCAGATATTTTCGTTTTCTCTTGTGTCGTTTGTTGGTCGTCAGCTGTGTACGTCGCCAAAACTCCCTCTGTATAGTGTCGTAAGAGTAGAGAAAAATGTTCGTGAGTCTGCGAACATTGCTGATACATGTGCTGGATGATTTTGTGTCACGCAGACTGGTAAGATAACCGTTTGATAGGGGGCACCGCGATGATTCACGGAGACCCTCCTTGCTGTGGGAGCCGCTCTTTGAGCACTCCCTCTTTCGTCCGTGTGAAGGACGGTCGTCTACCTCCCGTGAAGTTAATACATCACCAAAACAGTCTCACCCGATAAATA